ATAAATGGACTTTTCTTATCAATGAATGGCTTTCGTTTCATGTTTCCTGAGGTAGATATTCAACTATAATCTATTTTAACTAAAAATGAAAAAAAATTCAACTTAAAATCAATTATGAGATTATAAAACCATTGAAAGCGAGTAATAAGGCTGTCAAAGGCTTGAGTGACAACAAATAGATTTTTCTTGGCACTGGATGGCTTTTGCTTCATGTTTTCTAAAATAGACATTCAATTATAATATATTTTAATTAAAAGTATAAAAAAATTCAACTTAAAATCAATTATGAGATTATAAAACTATTTAACTCAAGTGATAAGGATTTTGAAGGCATGGGTGACTATAAATAGACTTTTCTTGTCAATGAATGACGTTTTCTTCACGTTTCCCATGATAGACACTCAAATATAATCTATTTTAATTAAAAATCTAAACAATTCAACTTTAGATTATTTATGAGATTATAAGGCCATTTAAATGGTTTAAATATGGCTTTCGAACGCTTGAGTGATAGTAAATAGACTTTTTATGTAAATGGATGGCTTTTGCTTCATGTTTCTCAATGCAGATATTCAGTCATAATATATTTTAACTAAAAATATAAAAAAATTTAACTTAAAATCAATTATGAGATTCTAAAACTATGTAAAATGAGTAATAATGCTTTCAAAGGTAGAAGTGACTGTAAATGGACTTTTCTTTCCAATGGATGGCTTTTGCTTCATGTTTCATAAGGCAGACATTCAATTATAATCTATTTTAATAAACAACATAGAAAAATTCAACTTAAAATCAATTATGAGATTATAAAACCATTTAAAGCGAGTAATAAGGCTTTCGAAGGCATGTGCGACTATAAATACACTTTTCTTGCCATTGAATGACTTTTTCTTCACATTTCTCAAGGTAAATATTTAAATATAATTTATTTGAACCTTAAATGTGAAAAAATTCAATTTAAAATCAATTATAAGATTATAAAATCATTTAAAGCAAGTAATAACGTTTTTGAAGGCTTGAATGACTATGAATGCACTTTTCTACCAACGGATGGCTTTTGCATCTCGTTTCTTGAAGTAAACATTCAATTATAATATATTTTAATAAAAAATTTTTAAAAAAATGAACTTAAAATTAATTATAAGATTATAAAACCATTTAAAGTGAGTAATAATACTTTCGAAGGTATGGGTGACTAGAAATAGACTTTTCTTATCAATGAATAGCTTTTTCTTCACACTTCTTAAGGTAGAGATTCAAATATAATCTGTTTTAACAAAATATGTTCAAAAATTCAACTTAAATTCAATTATGAGATTAGAAAACTATTTAAAGCGAGTAATAAGATTTTCCAATGCGATAGTGACTATAAATAGACTTTTCTTGTCATTGAATGGCTTTTGTATCATGTTTCCTGAAGCAAACATTCAATTATAATATATTTTCATGAAGAATGCAAAAAAATTCAATTTAAAATCAATTATGACATTATAAAACCTTTTAAAGCAAGTAATAAGGCTTTCGAAGGCATGGGTGATTATAAATGGACTTTTGTTGTCAATGTATGACTTTTTCTCCATATTTCTTGATTTAGACATTGAATTATAATCAATTTTAACTAAAAATATAAACAAATTCAACTTAAAATCGATTATGACATTATAAAACCATTGAAAGTAAGTAATAATGCTTTTGAAGGCTTAAGGTGACTATAAATGGACTTTTCTCTCCAATGGATGGCTTTTGCTTCACGTTTCCTGAGGCAGACAGTTAATTATAATCTATTTCAATCAACAATATAAAAAAATTTAACTTAAAATCAATTATGAGCGTATAAAACCATTTAAAGTGAGCAATAAGGCTTTCGAAGGCATGAGTTGTTGATCTCAAATAAATGTGCTAGAAGGGGGGTGAATAGCACTTTTTGACTCTTACTAAATTTCACCTCTAATTGGGGGTAAGTTAAAGCTCAATGAAGAGAAGTTAAATGCAAGATGAAGGAATAATCTAGCAAAGAATGAAATGAAAAATAAAACAGGGCAGACAATACATAAAGATTTATAGTATTTCGGTCAAGAACCTACATCCTTTTGTTCAACCAAGGATTTTTCAAACCAAATCACTATAAACATGAAATCCCAGTTTCCACGCCAAGCTTACACATGGCTTTTCAAAAGGCCAGCACAACCTTTAACAACTATTTTCTCGAGATCAACCAAAACCCTAAATTAACTTTTCTAGGCTGAGTTAGAACCTCTACTCAATCAAGCTAACCTAAGCTGATTAATCCCCTTGAGAGTGACTTGCACACTAATAAATCAAGAAGGAAATAGAAGTACCTATGATCACTAACCTGATCTGAATGGTACAAAGTGAAGTGCTTAAGTTTATTACAAAGATAAAGTGAAAGTAGAAAGTATGCAGAGAGTTTTTGCTATTTTTGAGCACTTTTTTATTGAAAACTAAAAAACTTATTCATAGCTATTGGGAGTGCCTTAATACTTGAAAAATCACTCTAAGGCTGTAGACATATTCTGACCATTGAAATAGTTTGGGAGCAGCTCTAGCCGTTAAGTTGTCTTCCAGTGGTTAAATCAAAATTTCAGACAGAATGCTCATGGTTGACTAACATTGCACTTAGTTGATTAAGTTGTCTTCTCCTGAACCAAGTTTTTGACAGTAGGCTCTTAGTCAACTAACACTGTCTCTTGGTTGACTAAGTGTTCTCTATCTCACAGCTTGCTTGAACCTGCCAACTTCTCTTTTGAGTTTATCTAATCAACTCCCTGATTATCCAACTGAGAGGTTCTGTTTCATTCTCCATTGTAGCTCCTTTCTTATGAGTTTGATTTTGCTTTTGAATTATAACTAAATTTAACATATATTTCCTGCACACTCAGTAGAAAGAGTATACATAAATAAATGGGATATTATTATCGTCAAAAACTAATGGAGCCAACATCTCTCCCTTTTTATGATACAAAACATTCTTCATTAACACAGAATGTCTATTCTATTTTTGTTTTGCACTAGATAGAATTTCCCCTTAATGTCTGCTCCCCTTTAGTATATGCATGATATTAAGTTATTTACATCCAGCTTAACAAGTTAACAAATTTTTATCTATCACTTAGAAAGAGTGGCAAGATAAATTTAGACATTAACAAATAGTAACTTTATTCAAGCTTCAGGACATTAGTGATAGGTGACAGAATATCATTCACATTGTAACTAGCTGTCACGAGGATATTATCAACAATCCCTATTCACTAAAACAATAATCATTGACATTCCATTAATACAAATGCATAAAATAATTTCAGCATTCAGATACCATCAACAATTCACCAGTAATTAAAATAAAATAATAAAACAATCCAACATCATCAAAGTTAGCTTTCCTAAATTACCCTTAAATTTCAATAACTCACCCAACCTACTTTCTCGCCCTTTTGTCATCAGCAAAACAGGACAAATCTAAGAGGAGTCTAAGGGGGTCGATTCATCTGCTCCAAAGAAGATATTGAGGGTATCAGGAGATTCTGAGGTGAGAATTTCTGTGATTGGGAAGTCAGAGGAAGATTGTGTCTGAGACTTGGAGTGGATCTTAAAGCAGAAGACTTGCTGGAGGTTTGGCTTTCAAAATTAGAGACATCTCGCTGAGAACACAGTCTTGGTTGTCATAGTATTTCTTCCCCTACCAGTAGGTCTAGTTTCAACTGGTGCAATTACAGTAGCTTTCCGTTTTTCTTTCGCAATTTGATCATTTTTCCTTGTAGCATGGACAGATTCGAGGCATGCTCTTGTAGATGCTGGTTTTTGTGCTTTGCTTTTTGCTGCTTCCTTTTCAGCTTGCTTTTCCTTGCCATTTGTTGAAAGACATCCATGATGAAAACTTCCTCAGAATTTGGTGGGGATGACCAACTTCTTGTGTTTCCTCATGGAGTTGAGATCCAATCACTTCTGTGTTAGCACTATCTTGTTCTTTAATTTCAAGTTTAGGGGTGTGTAGTTTCCTTGCTGGACCAGATTTTGGTTCATTGCTTTTAGCTCGAAATGTAGGATTTTCAGTAGTTTGTGCTGCTGATGTATATTTAGTTGCAAGATTAGAAGATGCTTTTCTTTTTTCTTTCATCAAATTTCTCATTTCTTGCAAATTTTCTTCAATTTTCTGAATTTTCTCAGACTATCAGTGAGTTTTCCATCTATCTTCATCAATATGTTTAGAATCATCTCATTCAAAATCTGTGAGGGAGTTGTTGTTGCTTGAGCAGGAGTGGCTTGCTCATCCCTTTAAGCATCCTTGGAAGTCTTGACAAATTTTTCTCTATACAACTTGTAACCCATCTTAGACAGGCTTTCCAAATAAATAGATTGATCTCTGCTCTTTACTTGATCCATCTCATATCTAGAACTCCAGATTCCCTTCTTTTTTGCTAAAGAAGTAATTATATTTCCATAAGGTGAATGTATTTTTGTCAACCCGACAAGTTCTTTTCATCTTTTCCATCATGAATCTTCCTAAATTAAGAGGAGAAGCATTAAATGCAAACTACATCATCCACATATCCTGCAGACTCACATAACTAAAGCTGCCACCTCTTCCATGAATTGTTAAAGCTATGAAGTAGTGCAATATCCTAGTTTGCGAACTTCTAATAAAACTTGCATTGCTTTTTAATGAATATCTTTCAGTTTTTCTAGTAATTACTTCCCACAAGGATGAGGGATCATAATCTTCTAGAATTTTGTAACTTCCCACATTACACTCAACATGCAATAATTCTCCAAGATCAAAGGCAGTAACCATAAACTTTTTTCCATTGAAGAACACATTTAGACCATCATTCACAAATTCCTCAAGATCATCTAGTTTATTTTCATCCTATGCAATACCAGCATAAAATTCTTTTACTAGACTAGCACTATAGGTTCTGTTCTTCAAGATACTCAATTTCTTCAAAATATTCTAATAGTCCATTTCTGTCCACCGTCCTTCTCACGGAACCGTATGTGGACATTATTGCTCATACAGCTCTCAGCCAGCAAGTAGTTAGCCTTCCTCTACAGGGAATGGAAGTGTGGATGAATCGAATTAAATAGAGGAATTCGGTTTTTCTTTTCAGCAATAACATGATAAGAGCATCCCTTTCACAAAAACTTACAGATCCCCCTACCTATCCTGCCACTTCAACACCTTGTGATCTTTGAGAAGATCATTACGAGCCCTCTCCTAGAATGTTTTTGTAGATTTCAAAACTTCCATAGTGGATCAGGACAAGAATGAATCCCGGAATCTAGGATATACTCATCCTAGAGCTTCTACTCTCCTCTGGGAAAGGGTTTTTATAGATAGAGAGGTGAGTCGAGGGTAGCCTCCCATTTGACTGATTTTCTTAGAGTCAGAGGAAGATCTCTCATCTGATGACCCTGAACAAGAAGGAGCTACTGTCGATGTGAGATCAACAGCAAAAGAAAGAAGAGGAATTGGATGCCTCAGAGCAGCAGCCCCTGAAAAAGCCTTAAAAAAAACACACACAACGAACCGGACACAAACAAAAGAAACAAGAAAAGGGCCATGATGATGATCCTATGTTTGTTTTCACCTTGCCCTGATGATGCGCTCCTAGCTT